AGCTGTGCGATTGGATTATTGTATACCATCTGTGTGCATGGGGAGCCAACAGGAAGTCGACTGACGATAGGCTTGTCTGAGTGTGCTCTGTGGCGCCAAAAACATTAAAGCGTGAGGAAGGATACAGAAACATGTTGGATGTTTTTTTTGGCCCTTAGTGTGAAACTTTTAGTAATAATAATAAATGAGGCACCAGTCTCGAAAAGCAATCACCCACTCATTGCTGCGGTGTCACTGAAAATCGTAATCACTTTTCTTCAAGCATTGTATTCATTTAACTGATTACTGTATTACCTCAGCTTTGGTACACTGCCACCAAAATCATTAATATTAATACATTATACATGTTTTGTCAAAGACAGGCTTATGACACCATTCAAGTGAGTCGCATCATGGATCATTGACATTTCCTGAAGTCTGTGCCCTAGTTTATGATTAGCTGGAAGGATCAGACATGCATGATTCGCTTGAAAAACACAAACCTCACTGTCACAGCGAAACCAGTTCTTGTCTGTCTGTTATTTAGTCTCATGACTGAGTAGCACATTTATCATCACAGGCATGGTTATAACAGGAAATGAGCACGATAGAATAATGAATAGGTCACTATGTGCAGCTGTTAGTGTGAGGCTACTGCTCAAAAAACATGGTTGGGAAGCTGCAGGTGGAATCCCCCCGCAGCCAGTGACAGTTCCTAGCAGAAAACAAGCAGACCTCATCTCCCGGTGCTGTGTGTGAGACACAGGAAGCTGCTGTGAGTGTTGAACCTTCACAGAGCTTGTGATGACAAATCATACTCCTCCATCAGGGGAGTGAGTTGATCCACAACTTTTTTTCTTCTTTCACATTTTCATTGCCTGCGCAGTGAGGATATACATTTGATACGTCTGGTGACGTTAAATGTGGAGATGTTAGAGCCCCACATTCATCATACAGTTTATTTATTAATTCCTAGTCACACCCTGACATTTACCTTTTGCTGCCTCTGGGACTGGACAGATCCCCATGGGGAAAGTAGGCCTCAAGGCCTCTTACAGGATGATGTCAGGGTGGCTCCACCTGCTGAAGCTCAGTAGAAGCTGGTGATGCAGCAGGACAATGACCCTAAACATTAAAGTAAATCTACCACAGAATGACTCAAAACAAAGAAAATCCACCCTCTGGAGTCCAGACCTTAATCCTGTAGAAGAGAGACACTCACAACAGACATCCTGAGAATATGTCTGAGCTGAAGCAGCTCAATAAGGAAGAATGGTCCAAACTTCCTCCTGAACTTTGAGCAGGTCTTGTCAGCAGCTACTGAACAGCTGGTTTGGTGCAAAAGGAGGTTCAACCAGTTATTACAGGGTTCACTTCCTTTTCCCACCAGCAGTGTGAATATTTCAAAGGTAGGTTTCTATGGATAGAAAACAACACAGCTGTTTATGTGTTTTCAGCTTAAGGGCACTGTGTTTGTCTGTACATGTGACTTGGATGATGAATGGCTGATTTGGATCAGATCATATTTTGTGAACAGTATTAGTCAGCTGTGTACATGACTGCACCCCATCCATTCAACCACAGTGGCAGTAAAATCACCCTCAGCTCCTGGACTGACGGCATTTTGAGGAAGTTAGTGATTGATTTGTCACAATGTTCCTGCATCTCTGTAGCACACAGTTCAAAAACTCCCACATCTCACCAGGTCATTGATGAGATGTGGTGGTGGTGGTGTTAAATGTTTTTTAAAAATAGCATTTAGAGCATCATGAGACAATAAATGTCTTCAGTTGGGCCATGACCTTTCCAAAAACATTTAAAGAAGTGGAAGAGCTTACAGTATACAGCACTGAAAATCTCAAAAATGTTGGTGGCCCACATTCGACCCTGTATGTTTTCATTTCAATAACAATCAAACAATCAAACATTCAGGATAGAACTGACAGCAGGGGAAACTCAATTTTTCAGGGGAAAGAGCCCTCATTGATTCACCATCTGTCCCTTTATTCTTTATTCCTTTTACTCTTTCTGTTGCTAACCAGCTGTCTGTTTTGGTACTCCACTTGTTGCCAGAAATGTAATTGTTTAGTGTGCAATCAGACTGAGATAGCAGACAAGTATACAATGTGGTCCAGCCAAAAACAACTCATTCCTGTATTTGGCTCATCACAGTGATAGTTCTAAATATGAGGGGGAAAAAACAATAAAACAAGTTTTTCAACATTTTTAATGTGTTTAAAGATCATTTTTATAATTGCATCTTTTCACAAAAATTGTACTGTTTCGCAAATGATTTGTCGACCCACTTTCAATACCTTGCAATACCCTGGCCCACCGGGCCATGTGTATTTCCAGTGTCAGATTCATAGAGAATAAAATATTTATAGCCTGTATAACCCTGTGTTTAGTTTCTCAATGTTATATGAGCTTGGATGTGTCTATGTCTGCGGGACAGCAATGAACCTTCTTCACTAGTGAAATATTATTGTCTCACTGTCTGAGTGTATGCACATGATTTGGTTAGAGGCTGAATAAGATACTGAAACAAATCCCCTTCAAGCTAATTATTTTAAACTCTTGAGAAATTCTCTAGTATCATGTAAATAATCTGCCACAGGGGCAATCGATACACAGTGGGGTCCAAAAGTCTGGTCTGTCTTACAATGGACAATGGAGACCTCTTTCCCTCTCATTTTTACAGTGCACCTTTTCTCAAATTGTCTCTGCCTCAGTTATTATTGTTTTTTTCTGTAGTAGCTCTATAAGGAAGTTAGCTCTTTAAATGCCAGAGCAAAAAAGAGGTAAAATTCAATGTCACTCCGGTGTCACCAGACATGATCAAGGAGGAACCTCACTTGATATATATCAGAGACAACAAAAAGAGACTGATCATCATGTTATACATTCACTGAGCATTTTATTAGTAACACCATACTAATGCGGATCTGGTGAGTGGGGGGGCGACTATTCATGCAAACAGTTTGAGATGACTTTTGCTTTGTGGCATGGAGCATTACCCTGTTGGAAGTAGCCCAACCTGAAGCTCCTGCCCTATATCTGCAGGATTTTATGCCACATGATTGACTGATGGCACATGGTTGATAATTGCATGGATAGGCAAGTCAACACTAGTTATTTTTACTAAATATGGTGCAGCGAAAGCTCTGGCACTCTCTGAGACATTGTTTTGACTACAGGCGTCTGGCCGCAGACAGAGAGACAAAGCTTTTGTTGTGGTTACAGTGTTATGAACGGCTTTTTTCATCCGTTGGTAAACCGTTGTATAATCACGTAGTGTAGAGATCATGACACATCAGTGACTCAGGGGCATTCCCTTAAAAACATTTTTCTCAATCTCGCTGCTTGTTTTTTTGTTTTTGTCACGAGCTTTCAGTTTCAGAGCTTAATGTGAACGTCAGACTTTGTAAAAGAAAAAGTTAAATTAGTTATATAATGTAGCGTTAACGCCATATTTTAGAATTTACTCTTGTTGAAATGGGGCACCAGTCCTCTGGGAGGACAACAATGAATTACTTCATTGCCAAATTTATCAATCTCATATCGGAAGCCATGACTTCTCGATTCAATGGATCTCCAGTCTCTACGTCAAAAGAATACAACAGGGCAACAACTGGGTGTAAATAAAGGAGTTTATTAACTAAACTACTCTCTACAGAGTAAATGCAAGGTGTAATAATCATAAAGATGAAAATAATAATGAAATGAGCAGTGTGATGAGTTGGCAATGGTGGGAGAGAATATGTTATGGCTATACACTATGGCTATACAGCTAATGATGCTACATCTACGAATTAGGTTTGATGATTAAATGTTGCTAAATTTCAACATCAACCCAGTCATGAGCAGAGTGTTAAGACCGGCCTACTGTGAGTTGCGCTGTAGCTGAAGACCCTTGGCTGGAACCCAGGTGGCTGTGGTTGCCGTGGTAACCCTGGAGACGCGGGGTCTAGGTGGATTCTCCTGGAGGCCGTGTCCCGTTATCACGATGACGGATTCTGCCGGTGTCTCAGCGGTTCAGCTCTGGTGGAGTTTGCCAGGAGACTCTCTGTCTCGGGCACTCTTGATTTCTGCTCGGCTTCTCTGCAGGCGGTCGTGCAGATGTTATCTGCTGGCGTCTCTTGCGGGTTGATGTGAAATAAACTCTAATGCTCTTCACTTTGGCTGGATAACTTCAGAGGAGACTGGCGTTGACCAGATGACTCTAAAGTTGTCAAAATCTTCAAAAAGGAAAACTTGATGATGATTAAAAGTTACAAAATTACCCTGAGGCACTTCTGTTGCTTTGGTTCAGTTGGTCTTGACTTGGCTTATAAAAATAAAAGATCGCGCATGTAAACCAAAATGATGTTACTTGGAGCTTTTGACAAAGAAAAAAATAAAAGATGCGAAAAGTGCAAAAATGACTAAGAGCCATGAGTTTGTGGCGAGCAGCTTAGAGCTAAGAGTTTACATGGCTACAGAGCCGGGCTTTGAGCCGGGACTCTGAGCTTAGAGCAAAGATCTCAGCTTCTAGTTTCTGCACCGTCTTCCTCCTTAGCATCTCGCCGAGTTTCTAACTTTTTCTCGTTTCTAACATTTCTGACCTCTTCTCACCTTTCAGGCTTTTCTGCACTTCTCTGACTTTGTGACCATGTGTGAATTGTTCACGACTGTTTTATCCCCTGGGGGCTGGCGCATGTTTCATGGGCGTCACCCATCTTCTCCTGTGTTTCCACTTGGACAAAAGAGTAATTTTGCACTGAACTTTGGAATAATTTAATTCTAGAGTTTACTTATAAACTCGCACATTCGTCTTCCACCATGACCACAAAACATTAAATGAAATAACATATAAAACTACTTGCTTACTTTTAAGACCTTTTATTGACTTCTTTAGGAAGAATAATTATTAATGTCCACCGATCCTGACTTGATTTATATCTGTATTTTTGTTCTTTAAGCTTAATGTTTTTTATGATAAAATATATGAATAAATTAAAAAAAAAAAAAAACAGTTGTCATTGGTTTTATTTGTGTTCATTTTTATTTGAGCATCATTCAAAGCAGCCACACATGACCCAACTTCACTTTCATATTTATAAAAATAATGGCAAAAAAAAGCTCCACTACCATGCCCTCTTACCTCGTTCATATAAATAGCAAAATAAATTAAGATCTCACATGTTCACATGTTATGCCATTACACAAAAGGAAACCTTTGGAATATTAGCGACGTAGACATAGGAAGAGGTAGATGTAGGCCAACACTTTTTATATTTTAAAGGGTAATACCGGTGGTTTTCAAAATTTAATTTTGAGTGTCAGTTGTGCAGGTTCTCTGTCTGTTTTCACTCACAGAAATGAAATACAAGAATTTTGTGCTTTGGAGTACATCACTTGTTGCGGTTAGTACTAATACAATTAGGCACTGAAACGTCAGGTACGATACTTCCTGGTAATCACCTCACCTGAAATGAAATGTCCTCCAAAACATTCGTTTCATTGCATAGTTTCCAATAAGATCTATTTATAATTTTGTTTTGTTACACAGGACAGCAGGTAATTTCAAGTTCAGCAAATCCATGAAGTTTGGATTGTTTGGTCCATTTTTTGAGGAAAAAAAAAAAACTGGAGGCTCTGAAACAGGAGGAGTGTTAGTATTAAGTAGATGCAGATAGAAATAAATGAACTTTTCCTCTCAATGACTGGTATTCTCCTTTAACTAATGCAAAAAGTACTAAAGCCTGTATTAACAGTGCATCTCAAACATCAATTTTTGAACTACACAAAAAATAAAGTTTTTTTTTTTTTTTTTTTTTAATGAACACTGGACCAGTCAAACTCTTTGGTTGCTATAACAAGACACTTTCTACCTTGTCCTACTCTGACACTAAAACTACTCTACTACCTCCTCATTCCCCAAAGTGCACAGCTCCTTCAGATTAGAGTCGATTCTGTGCATCTTATTCTGTAGTCTCTCCCCAATGTTGTTCGCTCCTACTTTCGTCAGCACTGCTGGAAGCTGCCGAATCTGCTTTGCCGTGGCAGAAGCAACCCACATGTTGATCCGCACATTAGCATCTGAGAGGCTGAGTGTTGAGGTTCCTCCCTGTTTTTTGCCATCCTCGGAGGGCAGGTTGTGCACGAGCCGACGCAGCCGCCTGATGGACATTTTGTGGTGGAGGAAGAATGCTGGGATGATATCTTTGAGGTAGTTGGCACCGTCTGCAAGAAATAAAGATGATAATCAATTAGCAACTGATGAGGAGACACAAAAAGACTTTGGCCTGATGCCAAGACAGAAACAAGTATTTCAGCTCTACAAAAAGCAGAGCCATTCCTGTTTTGACTAAATTGAAAAGTGAAAGAAAAACATCTAGTACTCATAAAGCCATGTCAGGTGAAGGTCGTGGGTGGTTTCCAGACAAATGACCTTGGTTGAGAAGTGAAATTGTAAGTGCGATAGCAACATTTTAATGACCATGTTTGGTGACAGGTGTAATGCAGGATGGACTTTGAAATCTGGCACATCAGAGGGTCTTTGAACACAGTTTTGGAAAATATCTGTGTATAACTGACATTAATTTAGACAAAAAAAGTGAATAAGTCACAACAATGATAGATCTTCAGTAAGTTTAAATTCTTTGTTGGTTGACGCAAAATATCCATCAACACGACTTGCTGCATGTGTTCTTCCTGCTTTTTGAGCTGTGTGAAGTATATTTGGCCTATAAATGGACTGAACAGTGACAAGCCAAACCACAGATGTAGCCAACAACATCGCACAGGGTGGACAGTGATCTTACCTGTGGCTCTGAGGTCTCCGCAGCTCACGCACACGCTGTCGTGCCAGCTGGAGCCCTTCAGCACCAGCACCAGCCCCGCAGCATCGCAGCTCTTGTGCTCTGAGCAGTTCAGCTCAGCAGAGACGGCGTCGGAGAAGGTGCCATCGGGACAAGTGTGGCAGACTGTGTCCTCGTTAGCCGTACCTGGAGGAGACGTGCATTTGTTTCAGCTGATGGATATGAACCAGTGTTTTCCTGATCAGTAACAAAAACCTCTTCTTACTTTAAAACAACAAAACCTCACAGGGTCTATCTTTCCATCCAACTAATGAAATGTAATTTGCATATACAATACATGCTGACCAAAAACAGCAACAGAACCAAAACAGTGTATTAGTGTGCTACAGAGCACCAAACTCAAATCTAAGAGAAATGACCCATAGTTAGGTGTCTGTTAAGGGGCATAATTCCGCCGAGTTTTGCTGCTGTGTAAAGAAAACAAAAAAACACTGTAAATATAAATATTGCCTCTGCGGGGCGGTAGACTACCGTCTAAAAACACATCCCCTCATTCAATCTTTAATATCCATGACATCCTGCTATAGTGCAGTGTGGTTACATCCATTTCAGCTCATCTCTGTGGTTCTCCACATACAACCTTGAAAGTCATGGAAGCACAAGCAAAAGAAAGACGGCCTCACCACTGGAGCTGAAGGTCCCTAAGAGTAAATTTAATTTAATATATTCAGATTTTAGGTCTTTTAGTGGGTTACAGCTGCCAATAATAACAAGGCTGTCTCCATGGTAACACCATGAGTTCAGCTGCTGTACAGCTCAGCTGATATGAGTTTATGTTAATGTTCCAGTTTAAATAGTGAATAAAACTAAATGAGGGAAACATGCTACTGGATACTGACACTGTGCTAATCCCGAATCCTACACGAAGAGGTCTGAAGCTTTTGAACCTGTTCTGATGGTTCTGACTTCCAGTATCTTACCTGTGCTCAGCACTCCCTCTCCGGACGGACACTCGCTGTGGCGGACGCACATTTCGTACTTGGTCTTGTAGTAGTATCCCTGTTTACATTCGCACTGGCAGTTGCTGTCAGCGGCGCAAGCCGCTTTCACGACCTGGTTGTGGCCACACACGCCGCAACGCAGGCACTTTTCGATGTGGTTCCACAGCTCCGTGAACGAGCCCTGCGGACACGGCGCGCACTCGCTCTTGTGCGTCGACGTGCAGCTTGCGCGCAGGAAAGTACCAGGCGGGCAGCGATCGCACTCCAGCTGCATCCCGGTGACCGGGTCGGTTTGTTTGAAGGTGTGGACCGGCGCTGAAACGCTGCCGACACGAGCGGTGCACACTGACAACAGCATCAGCGGGAGGAGCGGGAAGAGCATCTGGAAGGAAGGAGGACACCAGGAAAGGAAAGAAGGAAAAACAGTTATACGAGGAACAACCTGGAAATATAACGAAACACAAGGAAATGCAGCGAAACACAACGATGAAACAAGGAGAAATATCATAAAAACAAGAAAATACAAGGACATGCGCCCAACTGGTGTCACAGCTGTAACAGGTTTGTCAGAAAGTTGTAAATACTGAGTAAAACGCTAAAAACAAAACATAAATTACATCCCAGTTCGGACTTTTCATTCTGCCAATTTCCGGTTAAATATCACATTGATGTGATAAAAAAAAACAAAAAAAAAACCCGCCCTGAATCTTAAAAAAATGTCTATGAAATAAAAAAAGAATTAAGAAATAGCCTCCGTGTCTCAGTAGTCAGTAGCTGTGCTGAGACATGCAGTCAGGCAATTTCAAGAACAAGATGTCTCGACACGTCTGCGCCTCCAACCTCACACTCCTTCGCTCCCACACCTACCATCATAAATATGTGTCTGCTGTTTCAGGCTGCAGTGGTCTGAAGATGAAGCTCTCTCAACCTCCCCATCTCTATTTATTACTGCAGCTCTGACGTCCTTCCATTATAGACTAACAATCAATCAGAAAAAAAACCTTTCCAGATTTCTTGAGAACACAGTTGCCTCATCATGGCATTGGCATGTAGAATTTTAGTCATCCCCATGTAATTGGACTAAAAGATTTTTCTAAAGTGCAGGATTAGAGGAGAAGTACAGACCTCTGGTAGTAGGCCCTAATGACTACTGTGCTGTTATTATATAATTTTGTGTTAATTATTTCCCTGAATTTTAGACTAAACCTCCTCATATTAAACTTCACTCATTCCAATAAGGAGCGGATCAGAATTTCATTTAATGTTCATGTCCAAGTTGATCCTAAGATTTTAATTTTTTTAACTAAAGAAAGGCAGAAAGAAAGAAAAGAAAACATCAAGGTTCAGCATTTAGTTGTTGTTTTTTATTCACTTTGAGTGAATTGAGTAAATATATATAGCACAAATATTACAGAGTGGTGGTACAAGTCACACACACACACACACACACACACACACACACACACACACACACACACACACACATATATATATATATATATATATATATATATATATACATGACTTGTACCACCACATATGTATATCTGTACAAATCCCATGTAAATCCTGTTGCTGTCACTAGAGGGAGAAAGTGAGAGAGAGAGAAAAAAGAGGACCCCTCTTCCCCCCTCCACTCCTTTCCTTTCCTTTCATTCACAAATTTCTTTTCATTCATAAATTTGTCTTTCTCTTCTCCTCAGATGCTCTGAGCTCCTGTTTGTTTAACTGTAGGAGAGACCTGAAACAAAAATGCTTCCCAGCACTGTAGGGTCACAATTCCTGATGATCTATATCATCTAGAAACATGACAAGAAATAAAAGACAAAATATTAAAAAAATTAAAAAATGTACATTTTGTTTGATTTATTATTGTTGTTGTTTTTTTTTTTGTCTTTTTATCTTGTGCTCTATAGTAATCTATAAAAAAAAATCAGTAACTAGAGATGATGATGGTTATTATCACTATGTCATCTTTACAGTGCACCAGGTCTCTCATTTAAAAAGCACAAAGCCAGATGATGAAATGATAACTGAGTCATCTTGACTACAGCTGTGACCTTAGTATTTACTAGAGGAAAACTCTTCGGAGATGAATATCAAACAATTTCATAGTTATTCCGAAATTTGATCATGAGCCAAGATGTGGGGACTAAAAAGCAGCAGATGAAGGTATTCTTTTACTCAGTCAAAGTTCGGGGCAAAGGTCGGTAAACAGGCCATTGATTAACAATTAGGCAAACAGATTTGTTTTGGCAAGTCACCAAAAAACAGTCAGAAGTCACAAACAGTTCCCAACTAGTTTTTTTTTGTGTTTTTCTTGGACAAAACACATAACAACTGTTCGTTTTGGACACACTGAGGAGACATTAGTCCTCTCTCAAAGATATTAGGATAAAAAAAGAAAGCATCTCTTCATCTTTTTCCACCCTCCATTTCTTTTGAAATGTAAGGGTGGGAGTGAGGTGACAGGAGAAGGTGGGAACACACTAAGAGCAGCTGCCAGGTATTTATTGTTCTGTTTTCTGTGCACTCCTACTCCAAAAATAAGGAACGTTTTATGAAATTTAGTTTCATTTCACAGGGATAATGCAATTAAACATAGTTTCAAAACAGGGCATGAAACTAATGTGTTGGGTTTCTACATGTACAATGTAATTAAAACAATCAATAGCAAAAACAGCACAAAACAGATAACTGATAATATCCGACCATTAGCTGCAAATACACAGATGTACAGTCTAAAACGAAACAACAACAACAACACAACAAGCAGCAAATAGTCAAACAAAGACAATTAACAATAGATACAATTACCTAGAAATGAGTACAGCTGTGGTTTGCTTTTAGCATAACTTAACCTTTGTTGTGAAGGAATCTAAATCTGGGGTTTATTTGATTTCAGTTGGTAATGTGATCCAGAGAGGAACTGATTGACAATTGACAATTTATTATCCAAATTTAGATCCACAATGTGATATTGTGCAGTTGCTTTTGGATACATCAGGAGAGAGACTCTGGAGCTAAACTGTTGATACATTTTTAAACTAATTTGAGGAAGCAAAGATGAATAACGCTCTCAAAACTAAGTAGATTGTATCTTTTCAGTATGTGACAGTGATGCTGTTGGACAGGCTTTTTCTCCATTATTTTCAGGGCCTGATCGTATAATCAAGTCTGACTGTAGATGGTGACGCTTGAGCCAATACTGCGATACAATATGAACTAGTTGTATGCCTCTGCCACTCAGACTAGTTTCAGATTACGTGCCTGTTTTTCCAGAATCATATAAATTGAAATTCTGTCATAAAAAGTGTTTTCTGAGGTCACAGTGACCATGACCTTTGACCTCTGACCACCAAAGGCTCATCAGTTTGTCCTTCAGTCCAAGTGGACATTTTTGCAAAATTTGAAGGAATTCCCTTGAGGAGTTCTGGAGATATCGCGTTCACAAGGCCAAAATCATGTTTTGGGAGGTCACCACGCCCTTGACCTTTGACCTTTGACCCCCCCAAAATCGTGGCGTTACTGAGATAATGTGTCCATGAGAATGGGATGGACGGACAAACATACAGACAGCCGGACAACACGAAAATAGCTCTGGCTGTCGACGGCGTGGAGTTGTGAAAATGTGAAAAAACCATAGAGTTATATTGGGATGTTAAAATGGTTTGAGTGGGTAGAATTGTGAAGCTTTGTGTTTTCAAATTATGTATCAATTGTCGAGGTTAGTGAGGATTCAACCAGGTGTTGTCCTAACTGTAAAGGGAACAAACCACCCTGAAACTTCCCTTTAGGATGACTTCATGTATCCATCACCCTCACAGCAGGTATTTAAGCTGCAGCTCAAACTCTTGTACTGTTTTTAAACTGTCAGTTTTCATTCATTTGGTAGATATTAGGCCATTAAATAATGAGGTTTAGTTTCACATATATTGCTGGAAGTTTAAAACCCCTACTGCATGTGTTCAATTTAGACTCTTGGTGATATACACTGTTGCTCATAAAATTGGAATAAAATATTTTTTTTTATCTCTTTCCATGAAATGATTGTGACAATGTGATTAATTTCATTTCACCTGGGTAATTGGGACAGATAATGTAATCATTGCACCTGGTCAAAAGTGATTACTGATGCATTTAAATAGGAATAAACAGGACTGGTGTCTGAAAACAAAATTATTCCAACTTTATGGGCAACCGTGTATTATCATTACAAACAATGATGCTGTCAGAATCGTGTGAAAAAGGCTGCAATGAGCTCTTTCATCAAGCAGTGCTCCATGTGGAGCAGGTCTGTCCTAAACTGTCAGATTTCGCATTTGTTTGTCTAAACGCACATCTGCACTTCACCGAAATGACACCAGTCTTTAACTCGGAGAAGCTGTGAAGGATCAGCAGCACTCTCCCTCATCCTGTCCCCCTGCCTCAGGATCACTAACACTCATGATAAACTGACTGCTGACACCTTATGGACAAAAATTATTACTGCTTTTATTTCCAGATGTGAGTAAGTCATTCTAATAAATGTAAGACATTTGTATAAAATTATTTAACAGTGCAATAAGTCACAAACATAAAATATTTTATATTCTTTTGATCGATCAGAATGATTCCTGCTGAGTTAATTATGAGGTAATTGATAGTAGTTACTGAAGAGTTTCATATCTCTTGGAAGTTTAGTGGCTCAGTGAGCTACATTTTCATGGTTTCATTGTGGTAAAGTATTTAACAGTATTACATTTAGTAATATACATATACGTATATACGTATATATATATATATATATATATATACATAGCACTCCAGCTTTCCCCACCTGCAACTGCATCAACCTAGGACTACATATACCAGTTTACTCCCTTTGTTTACTTTACTTAAAGGTCCCATATTTGACATTTTCCTGTGTTTTATTTGAAGCAAAGAAGATAACGCTTTACAGGCAGCGCCAATCGTATGAAATGGGATACACTTCCTGTCTCCTAAATGGCTCGGTGGTGATTGCTTCTTCATGTTAAAACATAACAAGACAATACAACTCTAGATACAGGATGAATTCTCGCCTGCTGGTCTCCTAATGGGGGCAGGGAGGTGGCAAAACCCACGTGACACTGGAAACATTCTATATGAAGCATACATTTAAACGGATATTGGATTGTTTCGGTGGGTGTCTTTTAAAAGTGTCTAAAATATGTTTTTTCTCTCGACCCCGTGCACAGCAACACATCGCTCTGCCACTCTGGCGGCTTTCCTAACTGGGAGCGCACTGATCATAATCTACTGCAGGCAATATACCGACTATATATAGCTCACACAGCCCCACGTCAAAAACCCCTACCTATCCCTTTAATTCTAACTATAAAGCGAAGTCTTAAGCCTCAAACAGCCATATTAACTTGTGTGGTTCAGCATTTTGGTCCAGCAAACTGGGAGCCAAACCATAAGTATCTCTGCATGTCTGGATTCATGAGTCGGGGACGTCATTGTGCGTCAGCAATGAAAAACAAAAGATGTGGAGCAGGATGTGGAGTGTTTTGGAAAAAGCTTTTGCCTGGAGGAAACTCACACCTTCCACCTCACCTCAGATTTGATCAGAACAGTTTGGCGATAACTCAGCATCTCAGTAACATCTTGATGAAACCTCTTCTAATTTGGCACAAATATTAACTCAAGGGTGAACTGATTAGACTTTGGTAGTCAAAGGTCAAGGGAACGGTGACCTCATAACATGTGGTTTTGGCATGGTGGACGCAATGTCTGGAGAACTCTTTATTGGAATCCCTTCACATTTGGCCCAAATGTCCACTGGGACTGAAGGATAAACTAATTAGATTTTAATAGTTAAAAGTCAAAGGTCACGGTGACCTCACAAAACACCTTTTAGCCATAACTCAATTATAATTACACAGCAATTCTGACAAAATTTCACACAAATGGTTCATATTTTATATGACTCCGGATGTGTGTCCAACAA